TATCTTCATAACCAGCTACAACAAACAAATTCATTCGGCGGGGAAACAGAAAAAGTGTGCCAAGAGAGAAATTATTGCTCAGATCACCTCTCCTAACCATCTACGACTCGTTTATTTACTTCATTGGCAACGCGGTAGAGGCCTAAGCATCGAGATCGCCAATCTGCTCGTTTCTAAGTCTCTTCCAAAAGAAATAGGCGCAATCAATTTTGGTTATTGTTGACATGTTCTATTACACGGGCTACCTTTAACGGCTATCGCTTCTCATAACGAATGACTACGGAGGGGCCCAAGTGATATTACAACCAAAAAATGCCCAAAACCAGTGCAACAATAAAATGACTAAAATCTATCAATGTTTCACATTACAACTATGTTTAGCAACGCATAAGTAAATTTCGTTATTTTCTTGAAAATAAACCTTTCAGATACACATGACTTGCAACGATATTTTGTGACGCTATATTCTAAAAAATGAGAACCACTAAAAACTGGCCCCCAAATTTTCACAGTAAGCATTACCATACGGATCAAAAGCGCCGTAGCCAAAATCCATTGGTCCACCGTAACCACGTCCAAAACCAGGCACAGCACGTGAACCACGCACTCCACGAGTGGGAAAAGCGAAATCAAAACCACCACGTGTTGCTGGAAAAGTAGCCGTAGCAGCACGTCCACGTCCTCCTCGTACCATCTTTTTCTTATCGCCTTGAGGTTTTGCGAGCGAAATGTCAATGGGGACACCTTCCAATTCGGTACCATTAAGTGCTTCCATTGCCTAAAAAGGAAAAGAAAAATAAACGTCATTTCATAAAAACCACTTAAATCATAAAAAATGCCGATGTATAGCTCAGACTATAGGCCAAGCGCATTTTGCTTTATCTTAACTGCTAGTAATTACTAAAAGTAAAAGGGCAGTACGGGCCTCAAAGGCCCTGTGAGGAAATGGAGGAGAATAGTAACCAGGGGCCGGAACAGCGGCCCAATCAACGAAGGGTATCGAGCGGCAGGGGCCGCACTAACCCTACATGCGATAGGAATAAGTAGGGGCAGGACGGTGACAGTCTAGAATCCAAGGCGGCAGATGAGGGAAGGAAAATAAAAAAGGTCCAGACTGCTGTGACGCATATTTTCAAAAAACAGGGTGGCATGTGAAAAAGTCATGTAAAGAGCTCGCTCGGCGTTATGCACGAGGGTTGGTCGGTGGGGTTGAACGCGCATGAAGAGGGAGGAGGGGTGTTGGTTCGTAACTGCCCCGATATAGATTAGTGAGCACAGGCCCGAGAAAGGATAGAGGAGGAGTACAAGCTTATTTATGAGGCTGATGCCTAGGCAAAGCTAAGATCTCCCAGCTTCACCTAAGCATAAGCTACTCAATCTCTCAGCTTTACCTAAGCATCAGCTTCACTTTATTCGCTTTTAGCTTTCTTTGGCAATTACTAAAACTCGGCTCGGCCGTTACTACGCATCACCCCTAACGCTATTTCGCGGCGAGTCGTGTTGATGCCGCTTGATACTCTGCCAAATTTGATGGGTTGCGATCCCCGGTGCCCAGCTACTAGGTCGCACGCGCTGGGAGGACGAGGGGAAGTGGGGAGGGGAGTGGAGGGTTGCACGTGAGTGGGGAGGGGATGATGGTTGGCAAGTCAGTACGTAACTCCGCCAAGTTACTACACAATCCACCCCACCAACCCTCTCCCTTTATCTCCATTCCCCGCAACAGAACCCGTACACGAAGCCTTCCTTCATTATCACCCCACCTACGGCATCCAGCGTCCAATGCTGTAGTGGGATAAGGATACCCGAAAAAAACGTCCGCGGATCGTGTATGGACCCGGCTGAGTCTGCCCGAGTTTTACTTTCTATCGCTTTCCTTAATTTAATCATCAACTTTACTGGCGGGATTTTCGTTTGTTTTTACTTTTTTCCTGCTTCCCTCCCAGCCATGACTCCCT